GCATGTTGTGCATTTTCATTTTTATTTAAACTTCTTAGTATTTTGCAAATCCGTATATACACGTTGATAAAGCCTGAGGAAGAAGAATCACAACTCTTAACTAGCATGCCATGTACTTCAAGCAACTGCATGTGTGCTGCTTTCGTTTCCATTGGATTTCCTTCTTGCTGTTGCTTACAGGCTCAAGCTTTGCTAGAAAGTCTGTTGCTTTTCCTCAGTCAGCCTCAGGAGCTGTGAGGCAAGTGCACGTACCTGACTGGCATGACACTTTTCTGGATGCTTGAGTAACTTTGCATTTGGTAATGTGAAATAGAACCAACACTTGTCTGTTTTCTGGAAGTTTGTGGCCAATTTCAACGTGGTTCAGAGAAGAAATGTAAATTACATATCTTCAAGTGAGTCTGAATTTAAAAAGCACTTGTGTGTGTTTCACAGTAGAGGCACAAATGAGAGGAGAGTAGCAAAAATACCACTGAAATGCACATTTTTAAGATTGACTGTCACTGTATTTCACCAGCACTCAAATTTCCTAGCTAAAGAGGAAATTTTGTAAGGTTAAGAATTCTTCTAAATAAAACCCCTCCTATACCTTTTACACAAGGGAATGAAATTTTGCAAAACTTTCACTGGTAAGAGTCTTTACAGAACCTTTTGAGGTAGAATTTCTGGCCAGAAAGAAACACGATATACATGATTCAAGTGTGGAAGTTCCAGCTTCAAATCTCTGCCCTGACTAACAAAGAAATTGGACTTCTACATCTTGGGAAGTAACCAAGCGTATTATGCTGGCTGGTACTGGGTAGGATCTCTCGCTCTCGTTTGGAGCTGTCCTGCTTTATATACTCACTGGGTGAGAATCTCCCTTATAACCCACTGAGTATGGCACTCATATGGCTTAATATGAAACGATTCTGTATGAAGTGGAAGAGCTCCAACAGAAGAACACTGTCCCGCATGAGAACAGCCAGTGGCCTGCAGGTCTGCTTGAATTTTTGAGATTTAGATATGTTAAAAGACTAGAAAATTGTTCTCTTATACGCCAGGTAAGTGTCCTGTTTGCATGGTGGTGACTGGTCTGGTAGGGTATTGGGTATTTAAGCTTTGTGCTGGAAGAGCTGCATGGAACCGCAAAGTTTCTGCAGACTCAGTCTGCCTAAGCCCTTGCGAAACAACTTCTTGCTGATGTTATTTTAACTTCACCCCTAATCAATGCACATGAGTGAAATTGATGTAAGCACTGATTAGTCTGACTTTTGAAGCCTGGTTTTAGGAAAACATATCAGACACTGAGTTAAGGATATGTATTGATTTTAACCCGATCAAATTAAAATAATTTGATCATTTGTATTTACAGATATGGGAGGGAGTTTGTAGGATAGCTTGTCTCCCCTGAGCATATGCTTGTACCACTTCACCTTTGAATTATTCAGTCAAGAATAATCTGGAGATTTAAAAAATGTGCTTCCCTGGTACAAAGTAGTACAAAGGTTGATTCTATTACTCTTTTCTATCTCATCTGAAATAAGTGATGAGAGTCTTCAATCTTGTGCTTGCCACTTTCTTGAAAAGCCTTTATTTAAAAGAAACTGTTGCTGGTATGTTTTCCCCTAGTAGAAACAATTATATATTGCAATTTATCAGGAAAGATGAAATTCAAAGTGACATCCTAGCTGATACATTTTTATTCTGTTCTGAAAGTGACATTAAAAATTGTTACTAACTGCCACTTCTGAATGACCTTGTAAGTGATAAACTACATTGCTATGTCATTATTGCAGAAGAGCAATACTCAGCTATTTCTTTTGTCTTAATTGCCTTTTGATCAGCTCTTTGCATGTGTGAAAATTTCTGAATGTGATTTGCTTAATAATCTTTCAGAGTAAAGGTCATTCATAGATTATGCACATGTAATCTAATGTTTTGCCATTTTGTGATTAGTATTAATAGCACCAAACTGAAGCAGTTCATTAACAGTGCTGGAAGTGTGCGTGTTGGAATGTAGAAGTTGTCTTACTCACTGAAACAGTAACTCTCAAAGAAAAGTCACTTTAACATGGGTGGCAGTTGGATCAAACCTTTGACATAACTGCCAGTAGTGCAGTTAAGTGCTGTGCCTGGTGGTGTGGGTGTATGATGGCTCGTACAGAGTCACACGTTCTGCTTTCTTTTAGGATTTGAGATAGCACCCATCCTTACAGTGTCTATGGCTGGAAGTTGCCTCTGACATCTTCTTTTCAAAAGTGTAGCTTAAACCTTTTATGCATGATGAAAGTGTTCTCTCTTTTTCTGCCTAATGGTATTTTTAAATTACTGAGATGCTCCATGAAGCATTCTTTTTTTTTTTTTTTTTTTTTTTTTTAACCAGAGCTGAATTTGGAATATATTGCAGTCTATGAGGACAGTCATAAGAATACCCTGACTCATTAACTGGCACATCTGAGTTAAAAATAAAAAATGGAGGGGTGAAAAAATCCCATACATATACTTCTATATAATCTTTTATTATAACCACAGGATAAAATCAAGCAGCAAAGCCTCTTATGGCTGTAAATACCCTTACCATACAAATAAAATAAAATTGTGAGAACTGAAAATGGTATTAATCTTGATACAGAGCTGTCAGAGAGAAGACAGGTTGTAATAGCAGCCTTCTAGTGCTATTAATTTGTAACAATGAAACTGAATAATTGACATGTTTTATCTTGCTTGTCTGCATCTCACTGCCAAAGCATTCAAGTTCCTATTTCTGAGTGTGAAGAAGACTTTACGAAGGAATTACATTCAGTATTAAATAATGCTGTTATGGGAAGTTAAGGGCTTGTGCTGGGAATTTCCAAGAGGTGGAAGGAGAAGTGAGGTGTTTTAAAAGGTGTTAACCAGAGAGAAACTGATGCAACTGTGGGTAGCTTCTTACACGTATACTATAAGATGGAAACATTATGGAGCCAGAGGCCCCAAGGACACACTGTTTTATGTCTTCTTATAACAAGTATATATAATTTACTATTAATGCATTCTTAGAACCATAGAAACACTGGTGAAACTGGAGAATTTGCTTGGTAACTTGGACCTGGTACTTTTTGTCTCTTTGATCATGATATTTTTCCTTCAGATGACTTGGTTGTAATTGTTACAAAGCAGTGCTTGACAAGGGATACTAAAAAAATATTAATGCTGTGTCTTTAATCTTCTTCTTCTTGCTCTCGTTTATAATTTCTCTTCTTGCACTGTCTGGCTATGGATCTGAGAGCTACCAGGTTTACCATAAAATTCTTGTTTACGCTTGACTTTATGATGGAGACATGCAGCCTTATGAGAAATAAGCTCATTAAGTCTAGTTTGCATCAGCTTAAGCTGCTTTAACTGTAAGCCATGGTGCTGCCTTTTGTGAGGGGCTCTCCAGTCCCACAATTTGTTCCTTTAGAGACTTAATTTTGTCAATTTTCTTTGTGGTGTTGGTTTTTTTTTAATCTACTCAAAAGGCAGTTACAAACCTTGTTCCAGGAGACTTCTCTGCCTTTTGACAGGTTAAGAAAAGTATTTATATGTTAAGATTTTAATCCTGAAGTCTCAGCACATGATGATAAATGTAATTAAAAGTGATTAAATTAGTCTGCTGTGCTGGCCTTATGAACTTGGAGTAAAGGCCAGTATTAGGCAGGCAGAGGAACAGGCTTAGTGTGGAGTTTGTTTGGTGGGATTTCTTTAGTTTGTTTACTCCCTAGAGAAGACCAGAATGTATTCATGTATTCAGAGTTGGGTACTGCTTCATCCTGCTTATAGCTATCTTATATAAGAGAAGAACAATATTTTAAACTGGAGGTGGCTCCACATGGTAAGACCAAATGTGTTTCCTACCTCTGCTCCAAACCTACTGAAAAACTGGTGTGGGACTTGCAGGGATGTGTTAAAATCCATATTACCTGTTAATACACACTCCCACTTGCTTATGAGTGATATTTGCATCGCCACATATTTCTTTACCGTATTTTGCTAGGCACAAAATGGACAAATGAACAAAATTACTGTTAAGTTTTCTAGCTTTTCCATAGGATTCAGATTAGTGTCCTTGTAATAAGTGATTTGTGACACCTTATGCATTATTAATATTAGATTTTTACCATCACCTATTACTAATTTTCTGTAAAATGCTAATTTCCAGTCACAAAGGTATTTGGAGACTAATTCTTTGAGTAGTTGTCAAGTAAAAGGCTGCACTCATGAGGAGCACTACTCAACAAATGTCGAATTGTCAATATTGTTGTCAATACTGTGTATGATTTTCTTTGCAGCCCCAATTGGATAACTTGTCATGGTTCATGTGCAGTTGTGGAGTGGTGCTAATCCATAGTTCTTCCTTCTAGATGGACAGAAATGCCCTGTTTGTTAAGCCTTAAAATGCTTTGGGATCCCTTGAAATGGAGAGGATCATCTAAAAGTGTGATGCATGCTATTAAACGTTCGTAAGAGTTCACAGATGTGTTGCATTTTGGAAGACTGTCATAGGAGCAGGTTCTACTTTGATAAATAATAAAATGACTGTGAATGACTCACAGCTCAGTTAGAATTATTCCCAGCCCTGATTATGTGTCAGAATTATCCGAAACGCTGTATCAGACATGGTTTGCACATGCATTACCTGTGTATTCATGAAACTGCATATTTTCCAATGTAAACTTACTGAGGGCTCCACTCCACAAATCCTTCCTTTTGAGGGCTCCTTTCTCACCCAAGCAGGCCCTGTGATTTCAGGGAAACTAATCAGGGTAAGGATGTTCATGACAAGCTTTTGAACCAGTTTTAGAACTTTACCCTGTGAGGAAAAACTTGAGAATACTTTACAGAAAAGGTTATGAAGTATGGATTCCTCACAGTCCTTCAATACTCACTGTAGACATCTAAGGACAAAATATATATTTGTCTGCGGATTTGTAGTCCATGACAACTTGTCCTGTCTCATGCAAAGATGTTTTAAGACAGTCTTTTTTTTTTTTTCCTAGCTTCTGGAAAAAACCAACAATATGTTTGAGGAATCTGATTCTGCAGCTACAAAAAGTCCTTTGCACTTAGCTGTAAGTATGAGACATGTAAAGTGTTTGATCATTACCTTCTAGAATAACTCCTTACTCTGTGTCTTTGAAGCAGATTTAATCCTAGACTTGTTTTGAAAAAGCTGGGAAGGGATGTAGGCCTAGATGTAAACAGCTTTGGAGCTGAAATCGTTAATTATGTTTTTGGCACTTGAAGCTCTTGGTTCTTACTGACTCTGTCACTCAGGTAAGAAGACAACACAGACACTGAAGTTAAATGGAAAGTCACAACTTCTATTTATAACTAGTTTATAAATTTGGGGCTGGAGCTTGAGCCTATGGCTTTGTTCATGAAATGGGATACTCTGATGTTCTCCTGAAGATGTGCAGAGTGCAAAAAACTGTCTGGTACACAGCAAGGTGTGGGAAAGCATGCTTAAACCCCAGCAGTGCCCTGGGACTGTGCCACAGAAACTGTGCTATCAAAAGGGGATCCACCACATGTGGCATCATAGATCACAATAGTTCCCCTTTCCCAAGAGCTCAAGATTCATGATCCCTCTTCTCAGTTTTCTTGTGCAGAATCACAGATTAGTTGAGGTTGACACAAACCTCTGGAGATCATGTAGTCCCACCTCTGTGCTAAAAGCAGAGTCAGCTAGAGCAGGTTTTCTCAGGGCCGTGCCCAAGAGGCTCGTTGCCTCTTGTCACTGGGCATCCTTGAGAGGAGTCTGGCTCTATCTTCTTTGCTCCCCCATCAGGTGTTTATAAACATTGGTGAGACCCACTCTAAGCCTTTCCTTTTTGGGGCTGAACAGTCCCAGCTCTCAGCCTCTCCTCATATGTCTTTCTCAGACTGGCTCTTCACTGAATATCCCACCTCACCATGAAGCTGCCCTCCTCTTGAAAGGGAAGCAACTTGCTTACTTGAAAATGGGAGGAAGTTTTAGTTTCGTAGTGATCATGTCTCTGTTTCCTACTCAGCCAGAACAGCTCTGACCTGACATTTGAATTACCTACATGTAATCTGAGAGAACAAGAGACAAAACAGTTGGGTTAAAAAAATGACTTTGTCACAGAGCTTTTCTCCCCATCTTTTTCTCTGTTCTGAGAATTGCTTTCATTCAGTTGGAGACCAGTAATATGCCATGCTACATATGTATACCAAAAGAGCAGATATGTTGAATTTAGTACCCAGTTAGATGATAATCCATGCAACCTCTGACCAGCATCACTCTAGGGAATCTCTTTTTTGAAGCAACCATTGCTGGTTTCCACATTTTCAGATAACATAGAATATGAAAAATTAATTGTTGATTCACCTGGTGCTGAATTGGTGAATTACTGCCTGAAATGTCTCACCTTGAGTTGTGTTAGAAAGTTAAAGCAGATCAACAATTGTAATTTCTGTCCATATACACTAGGAATTTTTTGAGTTGCTTTGCTACAGTGAAAATTTGGGAAAGTCCTTTAAAATTGAAGAGAGAGTCTAAGGAATCAAGAAAATGGTGTTATTTCTACTGTGTTTAAGATACTGTGACAGTGACAGTTTTTATTAATGTTTTACATGAAATTCTTCGAAAGATGAGAGTTCTTTACATGACACAATTCGTATTTCTAGGCCTATAATGGTCATCATCAAGCCTTGGAGGTACTTCTCCAGTCTCTGGTAGATCTGGATATTAAGGACGAGAAGGGACGCACTGCTTTGGACCTGGCTGCGTTTAAAGGACATGCAGAGTGTGTGGAAGCTCTCATCAGCCAGGGTGCTTCTGTCACTGTAAAAGACAATGTCACCAAAAGGACCCCCCTCCACGCTTCAGGTGAGTGTGATCTTATGTTTTGCTTGTGGTCTAGACGCTACAACACAGAAGCAGCTATCTTTACCTATCTACTATCCCTATGCGCATTTCTTCTCAATGGCAGAAGGAGTTTTGGGCTTGTACTGAGGACTGCTGCTTGTTTGCTGAGGTACTGAAGTTAACTCTTACCTTTCATTTCCTTGGTCTTTTTCCTGCTGTCCCCAGGGTTCAGTCCCTCACACATAATCTCATGTTTTTCCACACTATTGCTGCTCTGCCCTTACCTGCTTATCTCTACTTTATCTTACCTCTCTCTCTTACCACCTACTCTTTAAGATGTGTGGTATTTCCCCTACACCAGCTTCTCTTAATGCTTCCTCGGCCAGAAAATCAGGGGAAGAGAGAACACATCCCTCACTGCTTCTTCTAAGGAAGAAAGGTTGAATATACCGGTAGGCTCTCATTGGTGATGAAATTGTCCTGGTGTTCAAAACTTGCAACCTTTTGAAGGGGCAGCACTACAGAAATTCATCCCCTTTCATTTCACATTGCCCTTCTCCTGAGCTTGCTGTTGCTGGGAGTCTGCTCCATTCCTCGTGTTGAGTGTTAATTATGCAGCGTGCATAATTAATTGGAAAATGTAGAATTTGCTATTTATTTAAATGTTATTTAATATGTACCTGCCAGATAAATACACAGAGGTGCCAAAGGGAATGTTGTTCCTCTGGCTTGTTCATCGAGGGGCTCAGCGCAGCATATCAGTGACCTCTAGTGGGAAGTAAAATTAATACCTCGTTGGATAAGAATTCTTTCCAGGCCTGGACTTAATTGTCTTTCTGTTTATCTATTGATCTTGCTTAGATTAAAATGCATATACATCCTCTAATACCAGTTTATTCTCTGTATGCGATGCTATAAGTGCAACCTAGAAACATAAGGTGGAACAGACTATTATCAATTCTGTCTGGAGTACTGAAGAAAATACATGTAATGGATCTTCACAACATACTAAAAAATGCTTTCTGCCTTCTTAAATTTTGAATCAGAACTGAGTACATTGCTCCCCACAATAAATTAATAATACAGAGATGTGCTGCCAGAGTTTACATACCAGAAGTTTGAGACCGGAATTCAGTGAGAAGAGATTTTAGTTTACCACAAAATAGTAAATCCAGCTGATCCTTACCATGTTAAAACTGTTGGTTTAATTAATGTACATCAAGATCAGTGCCACCACAAAACTGGAGTTGTGTTGGTCAAGAGCTTTGCTACAGTCACTTCAAACATAGTTTAGGGTCTGATGATGAACAAGGTGTGACTTTTCCGGTACATTATCACTATAGCAATGATTTTGCATTTATGTGAAAATTTGGTTATAGTGATGTAGGTTTCTTGTTGTCGGAGCTGAATTGTGAGGGTTCTGCAGTACTGAAAAAAGTAAACGGTAACAAAGCCATATTTTTGTTAGCAGCTCTGACCTAAAATACAAATTTGTTGAATAGATCTGTTAAATAGAATTGAGTGGGTTTATTGAATAGAAGGTGTTATTTTAATATACACTTTTTTTACCTGCATACAAATTCTGATTGTGGGGTTTATTTTCCTATTTTAATTTCTTTTCCAATTGCCCCTATCACATATGAGTGCCTTCCACGTAAAACCAGTAGGAAGATCCATTGTAGACTTTTCTGGCCTGTGACACCTTTCATGTCTCAGATGAGAAAAAAAAAATCTAGGGATACAAGCAAAATGTTCTTTAAATCTGCAGGGAAGCAATTAAGCTAGGTATGCATTTAAAAAAAAGAGCAAGAAAATCCTACACAGAGGAATGAGACACTAAAGAGAACACTTATCTTAAGCAGAAGGTTGAATATTTGAACTCTTAGTAAAGGAGATTTGTCACTCTCATGAATTTGGAGGCTTTCGAATGAGAGAGAAGTGCACTTTGGGTAAATCTCCATTAAGACAACATTTAGAACCTTCCACTCGAGCTATGCAGAGTTCTGTGGAGATCAGTTCTGGAGTAAAGCTTCTATCTCCCACTTATTATAAAAAGTCACTTGCAATCTAATGATTTTTATTATGCTGTTTCATAACCATTCGTTTTGGTTAGAAGTGTTTAGCAAAGAACAATGCCACCTGTTGGAAGCTCTGCGTGGTGCCGCTGCAGTATGCAGCAGCTTTTACTTGCAAGTGTGAGAAGTAAATTGGCATATTTTGGGAAATCAGACAGAATTCTTGCTGCATTAATCCCTTAAGTGACAGTGCGCATTTGCACACATAAAAGTGAATACTTGCATATGCAATGTTGTGCACTGGAAGAAACCAAGAAGGCATGGGTGCCCATGCCCTTAAACATGTTTGTCTTCATTCCTTCTAATGACTCAAGCACAATTGCTGAACACAACGGTTAAGGAGACCTGAAGTGGCGGATTCGATTACAGGGTTCTGCAGAGCTCTCTTCAGTAAAAGGATTTGTAAATTTAGTAGGGAATTCACCTAATGAAGTATTTATTTTTCTGTCTGTCCCTCTCGGGGAATAGACTTCCTCTGACCTCATAATATGGATAATTTCCTTAGCCTAAATTATATGTTCCCTGTATAATGTTATCACCATCAGTATTCCTTCTGGCTAGCTTGGGGAATCCATTGCAAGTGTTAGCGTTAGTGTTAGAGTTTCTGTTCTAAAACTCTTTTACCAAAATCCTTTTCAGATGCCGGCATGAACAAGTTATGATTTCTCTTCTTCCTGCTGGGAGAAAGAACAGATTAATTTTCTTCCCCTAAGCCAGTGACTCATCAGCCCTGCAGAACTGTTTACATGTTATGTATATGGCATTACTTAGTGGTAAATAACTGAAAATGTATTTTATTTTCCTGGGTAGAGCAACTAAGGTTATTTTTAGATTAGTGATTTAAATGTGGTGATGTGCACCCGTTTCTCTGCCAGAATGATGTGACACGGGTGGTGTCAAAGGGTTTTGCCTCAGCCCACAGGGTGTAGGCAGTGTGAACGCATGACTCGCTGTAATAAAAACACAATCTATACCAAGTACAGCGATTGCTGTTTTTCAAAGAAGAAAATACTTCTCTTCATCCCGTGAGTTGCATAAAGCTGAAGCCTTTAAGCCAGCTGATACACACATGGGTTTCCAGTGTTGGGCCCTGCAAAATGTAGTAACTCAGAGCTGTTTTCCAGAAGCAGTGGGTTACATTTTAAAAAGGAAAACCAGTTTGTGAGCTCACCAGTTCATCGGCACAAGTTAAATGAAAACTGTAGGAATGTTAATTTCTTATATTGCGGAATATTTTCCTTGTTTATAAGAAATTTTCTTATCCCTAAGGATTCCAATGTAAAAATATCTGAAATTCAGCGTATTTTAATTAATCATCCTTTTCTTTCTTTATAGTCATTAATGGCCATACACCCTGTTTACGGTTGTTGCTAGAAGTTGCAGATAACCCTGATGTGACAGACGCCAAAGGACAGTAAGTTTCCTTTGTAATGGTTATTTTCAGCTCTATGATTCTTAGAGCATCTCAGATTTCTTACAAAAACAGCATTTATTTGAAATACTGTATTTCCTGCATGTCTCCTTATAGAATTTGGCAGAGATTACAAAGTACACATTCAGTGATCTAAGCAATGTGGAAAAGATTATTCATTAATCTTAGCCTTTGCTTCATACTCGAAACAATTCTTCATAGATGCTGAGGGCCAAATTCAATAAAGACTAACAAGCTCCTGAGATGATGCTGTAGGGAGTCTTTTTCTTTTTAAAACATTGCTATTTCAGGGTTTAGTTGGTATATTAGGCTGGTGCAGTGAGACAGAATGTTTATTTGAGGTGACACATGAATCCGAGATGTTCCTACAGAAATTTTACTTTTTGTTAAATGACAGTCATAGAGGGAGAATAAAATGTATTTTTAAAGTGAAAATGTGAATGGTTTAAAAAAAACTCATTTGAGATGCCTGGAACATATCTGACTATATGCATATATATATGTATGTACTATACTGATATAATTTTAAATGGTAGTAGTCATATCTAAATATGGAAGGAGAATAGATCCTGTTCAGAAAAAGATGGAAGAAGTATTAGTCCAAATTTTGACTTGAATAGTTTCCTCATGTCCCTTCATCCCCTTTAAGCAGTTGTGCAGCATTTGCAAAAGAAACGTTCTGGGTTGTTGTCATCTTGATAACTAGCAGAGACATTCATCCACAGCGCTTGGGTACGGTAAAGATCATGTGTCGCTGGAGGGACAATAATTGTAGGTTATTAAGAGAACAGATCGTCTTGAATGATGTTGCTCTGTAAACTGCTTACAAATGAGTTTGTTTCTATTTCAGTCATGGTAGTTGGGTGTTAAACATCCTAGTGATTTCAGACAAAAGGTCTTCACTTGGATGTTATATAGATGAGTGTGGTGAAAGACACAGGTTTGTGGTTAGGAATGGAGAGAAATGCAGGGCTTCCTGATTCCTCTGTTCCTGTAAGTTAGTGCTGGTGAGCAGTATGTCAACTGTTTTGGTTTTTTTGTTGTTTTTTTTTTTCTAGAACCCCACTAATGCTTGCAGTGGCATATGGGCACATCGATGCTGTTTCTTTATTACTTGAAAAAGAAGCATCTGTAGATGCAGCTGATCTTCTGGGATGCACAGCTTTACATCGAGGGGTGACTCAATTTTTATGACTCCTAATTATTTGTTTTACTGTGACTACAACTCACTTATAAATAGAGGGATATTGAATGTAGGGAATACTGTAAATGACTGGAAACATGACCAAGCACAGTCAATGAGGTAAAAAGCAGGACAGATCTGCTCCCAGTCATGCTCTGCTTTTGACTTTATTTCACATGTGTTTTAATTAATTAGCTGAAATACTAATTAGACCATATTTTCTTGGCTGTAGACACTTTACAATACCAATCATTATTCTAATTCTGAGTATCATTTCTTTAAAAGAACTGCCCAGCAGTTGATTTTCATTTTTCTTGAGGAGGATGGTGTAAATAAGTAAGCCTTAAGTTTTTTCTAGAGGCAGTGAAACTCAAGGCAGATCTAATTTTTTCTATGAGTCAGCTTCTTACCCAAGGTGAAGTTGATGCAAGAGGTGATATTTTTACAGAACTCTATGATAACTGCAGCAAGCAGTTCAGCTTAGGAGTCCTGCACAAGTCTGTAATAAAAGCTATGGCATAAAAATTCTGTTCTGTATTGCTAGCAATACTTGAACATGCTGAAGATACCAACGCTAGCATATGTATGATATAGAGGTCTCTGATAGTAGCTGGCCAGTTCCTAAAGCAACTTCTCATATTTCTCCTTATATTCTTGATCCTTTTTTTTCCTGCGTTCTTCTCTCACATACATACATGGTTTTGAGAAGCCAGACTCAGGTTTTCTGAACCTCACCCCTTATTCATCTGTTTTATTATTCTTAAACTTCTCCTTGCTTTTTGTGCCACACTTAGTGGAGTCTCTTCCACAGACCAGGAATCAGAGCCTTTGAAAGACAGTACCAAATGCATTTCAGTGTATCAGTTACCATAGGTACTCTTGGGAGCAAAGGAGCTTTCATCTCAGGCATCGATCATATTCTGTATTTCCTGGGCAAGATTCTGTATTATGTCAACCTCTTTACTCATTTCATTGTTTTCAGATTATGACTGGGCATGAAGAATGCGTTCAGATGCTGTTAGAGAAAGAAGTATCTATTTTATGTAAAGATGCCAGAGGCAGAACACCTCTGCACTTTGCAGCAGCTCGGGGTCACGCCACTTGGCTGAGTGAATTACTGCAGGTAGCACTTTCAGAAGAAGACTGCAGTTTGAAAGATAATCAAGGTTACACACCGCTGCACTGGGCTTGTTACAATGGTAAGATTCTCTGTGTGGACGTTTGCCAAGTTCAGATGTGGCCTCAGTTTTAGGAAAACATGATAACAAAGCAGCCCTAACACTTTGAGAAGCTTGAAATGAAGAGGCAAATTATCTTACCTCTACTCACTCTCTGCAGTCAGTATTTGCTGTGTTCACCCTTCAGGTCAGAAGCCAGGGAAATCGCAGCAATACCTCCCGAAAGCTTGGCAGCTCATTTGCTTCTAGTCACAGGATGCCAACGTGAAATTCTGGTTTTGCTGATGTCAATGATGCAATTCATTTTTGTGGGGCCAGGAATGCTCCTTTGAGGTGTCACTTTCTTATTTACTGATGCAAGAGACCATGTGAATCGATGGATATTCTGAACTGAACTGATTATTCTAAACTGGATAATCTGAACTTTTTGCTTAATATAAGGATAAACCTTCCTAATACCATCACTGGAGATGTGCAAGGCAGCATACATAACATCACATAAAAAAAGGCGCTTTTTTCCCCAGAAAGTGTTCATATTAGCCTGGATCTATCTTGCTGCTGCCATTAAAAAATAAAATAAAATCTGTATATAATTTTATCACTGAAGAGTTTATATACACATTTTGTTAAACTTTGAACTTGGTGTTAAATTCTAATCGAATATGAATTCAGTGAATTACTTGCTTTGTGCAACACTGTGGAATGTCTGATCTCTTACAGGTCATGAAAACTGCATAGAGGTACTATTGGAACAAAAATTTTTCCGCACATTCTATGGTAATAGCTTCTCTCCATTGCACTGTGCTGTGTAAGTAGAAAACTCCAGTAACAAATGATTTAGGATATGTCTGGAAAAAGTAGCCGTATGAGAAGAAAGTATTTGATTGTGGGTTTTTTATTATTTGCATGAGCAAATAATTCTAAAGCTGATCATAAAATTGTGTTTATGCTAAAATAGTGGCAGAATAAAGAGTATTTTGGCATACATTTCATACATTTAGGCTATTTGATGAAAATCTGACTTGTAATGAAATAGCTGCATTTCTGCTCCCTTTCTTGTTTCTTTTCCCTTGCTTACAACTACAGACCTATGCCTTCTCTTCACACAGGCTGGAACTTCATAGCTCTTCCATTCTTAGGCCATGACCTGGGCTATAGTGCCTTGGTCCGTGTAAGTATGAGCTTTTGAGGTTCCTTTGAAACCCAATGGCTGAAAGTTAAGAAATTTGTCAGAATCGAGATGATTCTTTATTTAGCAATAGGAACAAAGTGTTAAAGAAGGAAGGACTTTGAAACAGCAATCTATGCCGTGCTAGAATGGTGTTCTGTGGAGGCCACTTTTTTTCCAAGACATGCTCAGCTGAGTATTTTCCAGTCTGATTTTCTTTATGGCCTTTCCTCCTCCTGAGATAATCTCTGTCTTGAAGGTTTGGTACTTCTTATCCAGGTTTAGCCAAAGAGATTGATCAGCTACAGAGACAGACTCTGTATACAAAGGACTCACATTACTTATAAACAACAAGAAGGTGATGGCTATTGTGAGTTACTCATCTTTTACCATGCATGTATTTTAGACAGATTCCCTATTCAAATAAAGCGGCATGTTCTCATATGGTAAGGGTTCTAACAGACCAAAATTGTAACTTTTCATAACATAATTGCAAATGCATTTTTTTAAAAATGCAAGTTTACTTTATTTTATAGGACCTAACCTGTTTAGTAAAACATGTAAGCCATCAGAAGAGTAAGGAATTAAGCACTGAAAAAAAACCAGTGCAAACCTTCCTAATTTCTGCCAACAGTTAAAATGACTGTATTCTAGTCTATGTTCTATTAGAAGAATGAACATCTTCCAGAAGTAATGATACGAGTATGAAATGCATCAAACTTAGGAGCTATTAAAAACCCCAATATATTAGAGAAATAAAAGCAAATATAAACCACTGGTTTTACTCTGCTTATAAGAAAATCTTTTGTGAAAACATGAACATAGTGTTTGAAATCTGAATTTCTAGTGATGGCCTTGAATTTTTTTTTTCAGTACTTGTGATTTTTTAAACTACTATGTAATTCTGAAACCCATTAAAAATGTGTGCATCTCAAATATGAATGCAAATTTAAAATGAAAACAGCTACTAATACAGCGTAGGTGTGTGTTAGCTAGACTACATGTCCACGATATTGTTACTAAACACTGTTCATTTTCATAATGAAATGACACAAATTAACAATAGCCAGAAAGAATATAAATTGAGTACATCCACCAAGGAAAAGCATTAAATGTGTGAGTTGGAAGAGATGCAGGCTTCAGTACCTGAAACACTAGAATAAAGCTTTTATATGTAAGTATCTGTGACTGAGTGCCTTCCAGATCCAGGTGGTGTTGACATTCAGACTAAAGGAATTCAAGGTATTAAGATTTTAATGCTAGGTTTGTGCTGCACTTTCTGTTACCTTTATGCATAGTGAATTGCAGGATCAGCTTTGCTTTAGAGACTGAAATTCATAGTGGCAGAGGCAGTCTGGTTAAATGGAGAGATAATCAGAAAAGTGATTGAAAGCATTAAGGCAAAGTAATGTTAGGATAAGCTATAAATGACCAATAAGAAATATTAATGGGGAGTGAAGTCAATTAATACTGGAAAGTGGGAAAAGATGTAGACCATTTTACCTTTTTGAAAATGTATTTCTTTCCTTGACAGAATCAATGATCATGAAAATTGTGCATCGCTGCTCATTGGAGCCATTGATGCCAGCATTGTCAATTGCAAAGATGACAAAGGAAGGTAATAGTTTCTTAAACAAATTGCATTTCCTCTTCATGAATCCGTGCAGTATTTTTTGTAATTCCTTCTGAACCTGTGGAAGTAATCCTTATCTGATATGGTTGAGCTAAGACTTGTCATGCTGACTCTTTGAGACAGCAGTTTACACTGCAACAGAGTTAAATGGCGGCTTACTTGAAGCAAGAACACTATAGAGTATTCAATTTCATGAAAAGAAATACAAAATAAATAGTATTTTGTTTGTTTAAAACACCTATGACTATAGGCTGTTTCTCTGAACCTATTTTCTTTGTTAAATATATAAACATGTTTATCTTTGCTAAAAGGAATGATACTATATACACATAGAAAAGTATTTCTTTAAAAGCTTAGGATTTATTTAAAATATTAGCATTTGCAGAGCACACAACTGAAAACATCTATGCAGCAAAAGGATACTGATACAGTGGAAGCCAAATCTTTATCACCTTGATGATAATGTGTGGGGGCGTGTGTGTAAATTGCTGAAAATCTAAAAATGAAATACTTACTGTTTTTATTAATTAAAACAAATTCAAGACCTTCAGTAGTGGTGATTACTTACTCCTGTAAGTGTAAAATCACCTCACCCTTACTTCAGTAACACTATGAGCTGGGTTGTGTACCATCTACCTTTCATCTTTGAGAGTCAGGCTTCAGACCCTGAATGCCATGGGGAGACAGCAAATGAATTCCAGTGTCTCAGTCTTGTGGTAACTGATCTTAAAAGTAGATAGAATTTCTTCTGCCTTTATAGTAATGCTGTTATTGTAGCTTGTTGCTGCAGTATCTTTGACTATAACTTAAAATACTTTAGTCTTTTAAAGTAATGGATCTGTTGTTTTCTAATAGTTCTTCCCATCTTATGCTTGTTAAAAAGATAAAATCGGATGAATAAAAATGAGGGATTGTATTGCTTTTCACATTACACAGTGTGCCCTGTTAAAATAAAGATGCTGCTAGTATGAGATTCACCACAGTATCGTATTTCCAGACTATCATATGAAAAATAAAAATTAAAAAATGACTTGCACTTTCTGGTTCTTGGGAATGAAGTAAACACGAATATTGTCGTTCTTTAGCAACAGCTGTGGTTGCTCCTTTCCCCACAGAACGCCCCTTCACGCAGCAGCCTTCGGGGATCACGTGGAGTGCCTCCAGCTCCTCCTGAGTCACAGCGCACAAGTGAACGCTGCGGATCACGCAGGGAAAACACCTCTCATGATGGCAGCTCAAAACGGTCACATAGGTGCTGTAGGTAAGTACGTCCTTGCCTCTTTTTGCCTTGATGGGTGACTGCTACTGCAGTTGCTGTCTCACAGAGAAGTCCTTTTTTTTCCTGTGAAACTAAGGAAGAAAAAGAAATTGTGTGGATGTCTGTAAGAAGCTACCTTTACATCTGTAAAAAAAAATCTTTTTCTTCTCAGTTCTTGTTTCTCAGTGGTCTTGGTGAACATTTGCAATAACAAACTTGAGCCTTATTTCCTCCTAAGAGGACAGTGAAAGAGCATGAGAGCAGTAGTAATTCTGTCTCCCGTTAACTTGCTTGATTTTATGGAGCAGTAAAAGTGCATGCATGAAAAGACTGTAACTTTTTTTCCCCACTGTATTATAGGAAGTCCTGTTCTTGAAATGGCAGCTACCAGCAGCTGCTTTTTCCAGGCTAGACTATATACTGTAGAAATTGATTAGCACGAATGCACACATCTATTGAAATAGTAAATGGTTTCCTCTGTTTTTACATGTTCGTCTGCCCATTGTTTGTTCATTGATTTCTGTTCTATACTTCAGACTTTTTGGTGAACATTGCCAAGGCTGACCTAACATTAAAAGATAAGGAGTTGAATACATCTTTGCACTTGGCTAGCAGTAAAGTAAGTTGAAGACCTTTATATGCTTCTATTCTCCACACAGTTTGTCTGTATGTACGTGTGTGTTTATGCTCCTAAAATTTTTGCTCCAGTGGAATTTTGATGGTCAAGCTTGTCGTGAGGAAGGGAGCATTGTTCCAAGCTTTTTCTCAAGTCTGTTTCAATGTTTAGTAAATTGAGAAATATGGATGCCTCTTACAACAGCTGAAACAAAAGGAAGGGAAACTAAGAAAAATAATGGAAAATCCGTTGAGATTTTACCAAATAATCTCACTGTAAAATAGTATACCAGTGAACCTATTTAGTGGCAAAGAGAAAAAAATATTCTTTTTTCCTATTCTCCAATTTCTGTGGAAGAAACCCCAAATTTTCCCTTATGCTCTGAGGCAGTAAAACCAGACGCAATGATTAGATTGGTGGTGGTGTCTTTTTCCACCTTTTCTTCCTCTTAATTCCAATTGCTACTGCTGTCTCTGCAAGAAAACCACCCTGTGCCTTTTCTTTTGCTCCTAGTTACAGGTTGGATTCCAGTGTGATAGCATTACTGCAGTTTCTGCAGACACATAAGCCTCTCTGAATTGTCAAGGTCCTTCAGGCAGCTGTTCACCTCTCAGGGCCGTAGACTCAGCATCTGCAGCTTGCTGTGCCGAAACAGTATCAGAAATAAAGTCTGGATCTGTATGATTTCCAAAGTTCCATTATTAGAGCTCTCACACTGAAGGGATTTTGTAATAGCTTATTAACAATACAAAAAGGGATCTAAAGGCCCAGAAAGTATAGTATTAATTTTTGAGATTAAACTATCTCTTTTTATGTTACTATGTAGTTCAGATAAATAATCCATTGAATGCTCTCTCAAGAGAGATAGCAGTCTTCTCTGAAAGCTGAGCTGAATTCATATATGGAGGGTTGAAAGCCAGGTGAATGTCTAAATGTCTAAATGTGCTAAAGCATCCTAGCAGTGGCAGTTTGTAAATGGTGTCTTAAGGCTACTACAGTTCAGCTACTATACATCCTTATAAGCTGCATAGCCTGTTTTGTGTCTCAAATTGTGTTATTAAATTTTACTTTTATATGTAACATTTCTTTTGCTTCAATTTCAAGCAATTGATTGGTTGTTTTTTTTCCCCCAATTACAGGGTCATGAAAAATGTGCCTTGTTAATACTTGACAAGATACAAGAACAGAGCCTTATTAATGCAAAAAATAATGCATTGCAGACGTAAGTATACCCTAGTCCTCTCAAGTTCAGTTGATTTACCAGGAGATTCCCATTCAGCATTTCAAAATCATGTCTTATATTTTTTCATAGAACAAAAAAAATAAATTCCTAATTTTTTCGAGTGCTTACCCTTGAAAAGACCAGATTTGTATCACATTTTCAATTTTCAGTTTGATTTCTTTGATGCTAGTTATTGGAAAAATTATATGAGATCTTTTATTTGAAGACTATAACAAAATGGGTATCAATCATGTGAATATGTGTGTATGCATTGAGCATTTCCTAGCTTTTTGAGCTTCACCTGAAATGTAAATAATTTTATTAGACTCAAGGTGGTACATTTACTTTTCAGCAGGTTTTTTAGGTGATATTTTACGTGCAGTTCTTGTCTGTACAATACATTATCAGCAGGGTCAGAACCATCGATATTCTTACTCCAGCTGCAATTGTTTGCCTGCTATGGGGCAATCCCACAGTAGAAGATTAACCCATGAGTTCAGGTGGCAGATCATCCAGTCCTTGCAGAAGAATTCATTGCATCTTAGCCCTTTATTGCCCCCTTCCAGTAAGAAATTGTTTTTCTTGTCCCACTTGCTGCCCCCAGAGACGAGCACTGGGTGTTTGGCCAGGAAAGGAGCAAACCAGTGATTATTTTTAATTTCCATCTGCTCTGCAGTAACAGAGATTAGTAATCAAGTATTCAAGGATAAAAGGGCAATGCAATGATTTTGAACAGTATGTAGTAGCCAGAATTAAGGATGGAACAAAGGCATTTCTTCAGTCCTAGATTTATTTGCCTTTTAAATGTCAATTGTGTACTGCAGACGGTGTTCAAAATGAGAGCTTTTTCAAGAGAGCCTCTAAACTGGAAAGTTCTAAGCAATCTTTGTGTATGTAAAGATAATTGTATTCGTATTGCAGATATGTTTTATAGATGTGGAACATGAGGATTATTTTAAAGGCTGTATTATAATCTCATGTCTACAATATGACTGTAATGATCCAAAGAAGGAAAACGTTATCTTTCTGATGCTGGGGTATGCTTTAAGTATTACCTAACTTTTTTTAGTAAGTCTGTTTTAAACTGAACTTGAATTTGTTATGTTTTTGTAGACCTCTCCATATTGCTGCACGAAACGGCTTGAAGATGGTGGTTGAAGAGTTGCTAGCCAAAGGGGCATGTGTCCTAGCAGTAGATGAAAATGGTAAGTAAATAATACACTTTGACAATCTTCAGTAGGGCCTACCAGGTAATTTTATGACAGACTGAAGCAATAGACTTAAAAGCTGATGATAGACATCATTGATGCTTTTATCCTTCCAAGAGCAGGCAGTGAGCTGTGTGAGTACCTATTAAAAAGAGATACTATTTTTCTTTAATATAAAAATGTATTCTAAACATCACAAGTGGTCCCTTTTACTGTTCATTTTGCATGTACTGTCAACAGCTAGTCTTTTTTAATGCTTGAGTGCAGTGGTAACTTGAATTTCCTAAACATGCAAGTGGCACCGGATAATTCTGACGCCTTGCAGAAGAATTAAGGATTATGCATTCAATCAGCGCATGTTTTAATGGGTAGGAAGAAAACCATCAACATATGTTTGATTGTGTCCCAGTTCATTCTGAGATCAAAGCTTGTGCTTTCCAATTGTCTGACCTAATCCAAGATGTAAATTATTGTTGCCTCATAAAATACATAATTAGTTAATAAATCTGATAATTTTGTTTCAGATCTCAACGAAGTCCTCCCCTAAATTTTATAAAGCCCATAGAGGGCTATGCTTCTATAATTAATGTTTTCCAAAATGTCTTCCTGAAATAAGCAGGTCTTTCTTACAATACTGACTTCATGGCATTAACGTAACAATTCAGTACCTCCATCTTCCCATATCTGTAAAGTAACAATAATACTACTCACCTTTCATTGCAAGACATTTAATATCTATGGATGAAAAGAACTGAGTGGTGAGTATTTACTACTAACCAAATGCTACTAGATACATTTGCATGAATGAGTTCTGCTGAAGTCATTTGGCCCTAACCTGATTTTAGAGATAGGGGACAGAAAAATGAACCAGACTAGCTTCTAATCACATTTTTTATCAGTATAATTGTACATACAGATCCAGCTAATATGCATGTAGGTAACAAATGCAAATTACGTTTAAATTTAATACACATTTATTTTTTCTAGGAACAACTGCATACACAGTTTAGAAGAGAGAAATTCAAGTACAATCTTAGTGTAAATACAACTCTAAAGAATATTTACAATTGGAACTCAGTGGAAGAGGAAATTCTGTTTAGGGTGTGCATTCACTGCAGTCAGTGCGTACATGTAGGTAGTTTGCTACAAAACTGTACTTAACGTTTGCCTACCAAACTCATCTATACTGCAGGTGTACTTGCCTTACCTGAGGCAGGAGGAGATGAGTAGTAGTCATTGCCCTAGAGCACTATTGCTGCAGCACTTCAGAATGAGCCATCTTCAAAAGAGTATGTTTGCTCTTTGTATAAAGGAGGATTTGTTGGAAAGTGCTGGAGTACTACACAGCAGCCTGCAAAACGTACAGATAGCAAGTGTAATCAGCATGTAGGTTTCCAAGATTTGTATATGTGAAGAGCTGCCTTAGGGGCAGTGCTTGGACAGGAGCCACATTAAACTGCAGTGAAGACAAATTTTTAATAGCTCCTCAGTTCTTCATGTTACTGACATCTGTAGAATATTAACTTTGCATTGAAAGTGTATGCCATGCTTTCTGAATACAGTCATTCTTGTAACATAATGTAAATTTGGGTAGCTAAACATCCACGTAGTCATACCTGCTATACATGTACCACATGTACTGGTCAAATTCTTTTCTCTCATAATTTAATTCCTAAACAAACTGCTTTCTCAGTTGAGTAGATACTCACCCGATCAGTCTTTAAAATTGTTTTTCAACTAATACCTAATTTCTGATGAAAGTAATTGCTCTCAGAATGACACTTGTTCATACGCACAGAAACTGAAGCCAGTTTCTGTCCCTGTTGCTGTACTCCCCATGTTCTGTATTCATCAAACTGTCTGTGTTGTAGAACTGTGTTTAGCAAGTGCTTTTATTCATATTGTGGAGTCTGTTTGCTGCCTGATTTAAAAAAAAATAGTGCTTGTTGTGGTCACAGTGATTTAAATGCTCCATGAAGTGTGTATTTCTCCAGCATGTCTAATTTAAAATAAGTAACATCCCCCTGTTGCCTGGCATGATTGAACATACATCTCCTGCTTACGACGTCACCTAGAGATGTATTTGAGGAATGCTCAGCGCCATTCTGGATACCCTTAGTACTAACCATTGCCTTGTCTGCATTTGTGCCCAGGTCATACGCCAGCCCTGGCTTGCGCTCCTAACAAAGACGTGGCTGACTGCCTGGCACTCATTTTGGCTACCATGATGCCTTTTTCTCCTTCCAGTTCAGTGACGGCTTTCAACTTCGTTTGTTTTAAAAAAGACAATTTGGGCAGGACGCATCTCTGCGATGGCTCCAGTATCGGTAGCATTAACTCTTACAATAAGCCCTTGAGTAATAACATAGGAACAGAGGATGGGTACAATGAAAATGATTCGGATTCTGAAACATTTTGACTTTTTGGTATTCAAAAACTTTTTTTTTTCCATTATTATTTCACTTAAGCTTTATTTTTGTCTTTTTAAACAGCTTTAATCCCATGGCTATATTCGTAACTATTACTCTTGACAAGTAGGTATTGAAAGATTTATAGCGTTGATGAGAATCAAGCCTTCAAACAACAAAGTCAAAGGGGTTTACTGGAACATATTCCCATTAATGTTCTGCAGCTTTTTAGCTTCCTCATGTTTCCTTTGGGCCCTAAGTGCCCCTGTGGAAAGTCTCTACCTCTTATTTTAAGTAGAAAAAGAGAAAATGCCTTTTTACTTTTTGACAGCACAAATAAACAGGGAACTGTTTATAAAAAGTTCTTATGTGTTTTAGCTATACCTTTAGTACATGAGCATGCTTCCAGTGTAGCTTTCATAGATTCAAGCATCACTCATTTCCTCTGTCTCTTTCCTGCTTCTGGGGGCTCTGTTCATTAGATGTTTTTATTATTATTTATTTTTTTTTACACAAACCAAAGGTAAAGCTGTAAATCATAAAACTGCCTGTATTACTTTTCTACAGGAAACGAAACCTTTTACATTCTGCGTGTATTAAGCACTTAAACGTACGGAAGGCACTTTTTGCAGTTATTATTTGCAGCACACGACTAGAAAAATACAGTTATAAACTCTTAAGACCAAATTCTCCTTGTCTAACCATATTTTCCCACAGACGTTAGTGGAACCACTTGTGTAAAACGAAAAATCACTTGGCCCTTATTTCTTTTTCCATTCAGCACAAACATGTCCGGTTTATTTGCACTACAGAATTAAGGTTATTAGAAGTTTCAGTCACCTGAGCCATTAACCATGAATCTAGTAACAGAAGAAAAAAAAGGAGAGAGGGAGGGAAACAGGTGTAGACAAATTTGTATGTAAAAGTTGATAACGACTTGCCAACTTAAATGGATTTTTTTCCTTTTCTATGCTTAAATAACTTATTTTTACTGTAAACAGTATCAAATTTTAAAATGCTTTTGCCAGTGTTTGGATTAACAGAGGTAAAGCAATGAAAGCGTAACACCAAAAGTTGAAATACCAAACACCAGAAAACTTAGCGGTGTACTGTGCAGGGTATTGGCGATACATGCTAAAAAAACTATTGTCACCAGCTTTTAAAGCAATGTCAACTTTGTGAATATGTTTACTCCTTCTGCCAAAGTTTCTAGGTCAAATGGACCGCGACCCTCCTCTGCACCAGATGTACAAAAGGAAGAATGAACCTTTGTAAACAAAAACAAACAAACAAAAACTAAGCAAAAAGCTCTCATGAACTAACCAGCTGTACCAAGAGGACCAAAATGCTCCAGTAATTAAATGGAAGACTTTGCTACTTTTATTTTTTCTTCAGATGTGAGTGACATAATGAAGTACTTTTTCTAAACCATGAAAATATAAACTTTTGAGGTAATGAGTAGTCTTGAGTGAATTTTACATTTTATGACACAGGTTTCAAGTTGACATTTGTAACTGATGACGTGTTGACCACAGGTCGTTGGGGTTTTTTATCCAGACTAAAGAATATGTTCATATACTTTTAATGTAAATGTGTTTATATTTATTTGAAATGAAACAAATGCCCAGGAAAAATAACTATGGCTTGTTCTCCTCGTTAGCGTTTGTGCATACTATTTGGCATGATGCGAAATGAAATGTGAATCTAGGCAAGGCTGATGGCCTGAGCAGGAAAACAAAGGGCTGATGCACCCATCTTGTTGTCTGGAATGCAAAGACAAAGCCCACAGGCTATATTGCTAAAAAGCAGTGAGCAAAACACCGTCCCTCATTTAAGAGCATAAGGAAGGGATCTAACCCCTTGCTAGACACGTGAGAGACACTGTACAGCTACAGTAAAGAGGGGAAAAGGTCAGATAGCATGGAGTCAAGGTGTTAAAGTTCCTGGGATTCATGCTCAGGCTGTCTGCAGGCCTACATCTGTGCTGGGAGGATGAGATGAGCTTCCTCAGTGCATGCTTTTGGCAGGGTAAATGAGAAGTTTTAGTTTACTTGCAGTTTTTGCAATGGAATTGTTAAAAACGTGTTGGCAGATTCCAGTTCTTTAATTAGGAAAAATATTTATATATTAAGGTTTTTTTGGCCTTGCTGAAATGAAACATTATTTCCTTGAACATTAACAAATTTCCAAAGTTTACAACAACAAAATCACAATGTGATTTAGTGTCTCTAAAGGTGAACATTTCTTTTCCCTCAGTTCTAAACTTTCTGCAGTAGAATGACAGAGCACATGAAACACTGGTTTCCTCCTCAGAAGTAGCGCAGAATAACATTTTAATGATTGATTTTTCTTTGCTTCTAAAAGTTGCAGAATAGCAATAACCACCTTACTTAAAGCACTGAAAATAAGAGGAGAGTTCAGTTGTTGAGTCTTCAGTGGTATCTGTTAATAAATGAACAGAAATCCCAGTTTGGGGGGTTTTTATGTGGAATGATGGCATTGAAAACAAATGAACAAATGGGAAATGGCTGCTACCTGTCTAACAGTAGGATCAGCAGTCAATTATTTTAACCAGAGACGCAGGTAGGTTCCTTAGCAGGATTACTTACAAGTCTCACCCTGAGATACAGAAAGTTATGCTATCCTACATGAAGTTGCTTCATTAGCAGAAAACCAGTCCTCTTTACAAAGAGGATGTTGTATTATTTTAAGCAGCCATTTAATAAAAATGCAGTATTTTTATTTGCTACCCTACAGCGTTGCTGAAAATATTTCTGTATATTTGCAATACCTCGTAACTCTGGTAATTGCATAGTGCAACTGCTGCTTCCTAATGATATCTACATTATAGAAGCATAGGTGATTACTTTGCTCTTTCTAGGAACCAAATCTAAACTTTACTGATTAACCTTTTCAGTAAACTAACAATGATGTAAATATGCAATATTCCAGAAATCATAGAAACATGATTTGTTAGTATCTTAAGGGCATTGGGAAAAGTCATGTTTTGAGTATGGTATATTTAAGAGGAAAACTGTCACAAGCAAGACATGTGGAAGCTCTCAGTGTTGGTCTATCCCACAGCTCATGTGAGTTACCAGAATCCCTGTTTTTGTATGCTAGTGCATTAATCTGTAACATAATTTATCACTTGTAGAAATAGATGTCTAACTTAGGGCAGGTATTTAAGCATGGGACTAATTTTACTCTTGTAAATAATCACCTTGCCTTTCTGTGGACTTTTTACAAGAGTAGAGTTAATCATACAGAATTGTTGCACTTAACCCTGGATCCTGCAATTTACAGGACGTGGACCACTTCTGTGTCTGCACCAAGCAAAGGGTATTTGGGGAGGGGCAGCCATTTGCCCGGGTGCATTAGCAGGATTGTTTCATCCTGTATTTTAACCACAGCTGCAGGTGGAATCCCTAGCAGGATGGGGACCCAAGTCTCTCTCATAAATACTGAGTTACAACCTCCAGACTGCCTGAAATTGCTGTGAAATAGCTCAGGGGAATTCTGTTCATCGCTACTAAAAGGGCACCATAATGTGTTTGGTACTTTTATGCAGTCAGCAACTGCCAGCTTATTGAATTAGAACAAACACATGAAATGAATTGTTTATCCATTGTACTGTTGAGAAACTTGGTTATGTATCTTGAGGATGATTTTAAAAAATGTGTGATTTTTATTCTTAGTCATGTAAGAAATATTAGAGTGCCTTTTTATATTTGTGTATTATGGAAACGTTTTGTGAAACTCGTCTTTTTTTTTTTTCCTTTCATTTGAGTGTTATAAAAGCAATATATTACCAGTAAATTTTCATTTCAGACCTTCTTTGAATGTATAAAGTGTTTCTTCTTTTCATATGTTCTACCTGCATTGAAATGAAAATGAATATGCTAAATTTCTATAGGAATAATGTATAATTTTTGCAGTGCTGAAAATGCTTTCTTATTACACAAAAAGTAAACCTTAGGTCAGTGTTATAGGAAAGGGCGTTTTAAACTAGTGACAATCTGAGTGTGTGTATAAAATGTAATTTTATGCGTTTCTTATGCAGTGATCTACATATTAAAGCCAATATCTTATGTTTTGTAGGTTTTGTCTTACATTTTATGCTTTAGCATGTGCAATATATCTTTACAAACCATGGTGATACGAATCTGGTGCCAGTGTTATATTTTGCATAACATTTGTAATAAACAATATAAAATATTGTTTGATGGTTTCAGTGGGGTTTTGTTGGTATTGTTTGCTTTTGTAAATTGAAGTATAAGGACTTGGGTAAATGTCACATATGAAATGAGGAAAAAGACTGACTTCAGCGAATGACTTGGAATTCAACCTGAATCCTCTCAAGCACAGTTTAGTAACTTTTTCAACTACTGAATGCTGTATTAATGTAATGAAGAACCCTAACTGTAAACTACTATTGCAATGCATTCAGATGGTTATTTTTACAAATAAAAATGGTACAAATACTGTTGGAAAACTGAGTAAATTTTGTTTCTTTTAAAGGAGAGGGAAAGGCTTAAGTATTTAGCAGTGAAGAAGGTGAGAATATAACTGTATGTATTTACACTTTGTACTTTCCTCATATGTCAAGTCTTTGTCTTAGTAAGCTGATGTATTATTTCCTCTGTAGATTGAGAAAAGAATCATAACATTTTTTGGCAGATACTAAATATTTTACTGTTAAGTTTTCACTGATGAGCAACACCAGCAATCCCGGGTTGGTCATGCATGGGGAGGTGGGGAAGGGCTGCCCCCAGAGGCAAAAATGCAATGGGAGTGCTTAACCATAGTAAAATACTTAAGTTGTTAAAAGGGCTTAATTAAAGCAAACAAAAAAGACTCACAAACCCCCCCCTCAACTCCCTCATCCCGCATCATTAAAACCGTCTTTTACGTGTTGAGTGCTTGAAGCTTTACGGATGTCTTAACTGCTCACAGGCCAGGAACCGTAAAAACCACCTGCACAGGGGACCTTGCAGGTTTCGTTTTGGGCGGGGTGCGGGTCGAGGCTCTGGCCCGGCTCCCGCCGGTACCCCCGGCCCCTGACAGCGCATGGGGAAGGAGGGGGAGGAGTAAATCTGCTCCCGTCGACATCCAAGGGGCATTTTGGAGTCCGCAAACTCCGACGAGCCGCCGACTGCCCTAG